CAATCTGATACAGGAGAAACTGAGAATGCGCAACACACTAACGTAACAATCCGTTACATGAGAAAACAGAGAATGCGCGAGACACTAACGGAACAATCCATTACAGGAGAAACTGAGAATGCACGAGACACTAACGGAACAATCCATTACAGGAGAAACTGAGAATGCGCGAGACACTAACGGAACAATCCATTACAGAAGAAAACTAAGAATGCGTGACACACTAACGGAGCAATCCATTATAGAAGAAAACTGAGAATATGTAAACACTAACGGAACAATCCATTACAGAAGGAAGCTGAGAATGCGTGACACACTAACCTAACAATTCCTTACAGGAGAAAACTGAGAATGGGCGAGACACTAACGTAACAATCCAATACAGGAGAAAACTGAGAATGCGCGAGACACTAACGTAACAATCCATTACAGGAATAAACTAAGAATGTGCGAGACACTAACGTAACAATCCATTACAGGAATAAACTAAGAATGTGCGAGACACTAACGTAACAATCCATTACAGGAATAAACTAAGAATGTGCGAGACACTAACGTAACAATCCATTACAGGAATAAACTAAGAATGTGCGAGACACTAACGTAACAATCCATTACAGGAATAAACTAAGAATGTGCGAGACATTAACGTAACAATCCATTACAAGAGAAAACTGAGAATGGGCGAGACACTAACGTAACAATCCGTTACATGAGAAAACAGAGAATGCGCGAGACACTAACGTAACAATTCCTTACAGGAGAAAAATGAGAATGGGCGAGACATTAACGTAACAATCCATTACATGAGAAAACGGAGAATGCGCGAGACACTAACGTAACAATTCAACACCAGTGAAAACTGAGAATGGGCGATACACTGACGTAACAATCCATTACAGGAAAAACAGAGAATGCGCGGAGCACTAACGGAACAATTCATTACAGGAATAAACTAAGAATGTGCAAGACACTAACATAACAATCCAATACATAAGAAAACTGAGAATGCGTGAGACACTAACGAAACAATCCATTAGAGGAGAAAACTGAGAATGCACGAGACATTAACGGAACAATCTATTACAAAAGAAAACCGGGAATGTGTGAGACACTAAGGGAACAATCCATAGCCAAAAAACACAAAGAATGCACGAGACACTAACGTAACAACCTATTACAGGAGAAAACTGAGAATGCGCAACACACTAACGTAACAATCCGTTACAGGAGAAAACTGAGAATGCGCAACATACTAACGTAACAATCCATAACAAAAAAAACTGAGAATGCGTGAGACACTAACTAAGGGTCCATTACAGGAGAAAATTGAGAATGCGCGACACACTAACGGAACAATCCATAGCAAAAAAACACTTAGAATACGCGAGACACTAACGTAACAATCCATACAAAAAAAAACAGAGAATGCGTAAGACACTAACAGAACAATCCATACAAAAAAAAAAACAGAGAATGCGTAAGACACTAACAGAACAATCCATACAAAAAAAAACAGAGAATGCGTAAGACACTAACAGAACAATCCATACAAAAAAAAAACAGAGAATGCGCAAGATACTAACGGAACAATCCATTACAAGAGAAAACTGAGAATGCGCAACATACTAACGTAACAATCCATTACATGAGAAAACTAAGAATGCGCAACATACTAACGTAACAATCCATTACATGAGAAAACTAAGAATGTGCGAGACATTAACCCAACAATCCATAACAAAAAAAACTGAGAATGCGTGAGACACTAACGAAACAATTCATTACAGGAGAAAATTGAGAATGTGCGACACACTAACGTAACAATCCAATACAGGAAAAATTTAGAATGCGTGAGACACTAACGGAACAATCCATAGCAAAAAAACACTAAGAATACGCGACACACTAACGTAACAATCCAATACAAGAGAAAACTGAGAATACGCGAGACACTAACGGAACAATCCATTACAGAAGAAAACTGAGAATGCGGTGAGATACTAACGTAACAATCCATTACAGGAATAAACTAAGAATGTGCGAGACACTAACGTAACAATCCAATACAGGAAAAACTGAGAATGCGCGAGATACTAACGTGACAGTCCTTGTAAGAAAACTGCCATATCTCCTTTGTATTGGGAGTATTAACCCTTTCACTCCCAAGATCTTATTAGCAAGTCTCCTTACTGTCTACCATACAGCTCTTAAGATGTTGATTTCGAGAATTTGGTATTGGATCAACTATTGATCCCCTTTGGATATATTTCTTTATTATCATCTTTTGTCCACTTGATATCATATTGATTTTGTGTTGGTTAAGCAAACCCACACAATGATTGCTAACTACTTCACCCATTTCAAAGATAAAGTAACATGGTCAACATTTTTATAAATAAAACAACTAGTGTACTCAATTAAGATTGCAAGTTATGTTATAGGAGTGAATATGCAATTGCTATGCTTGTGCTCCTAATATACTACAAATCATTGTGTAATAATCATTATATCACTCATGGAACACAAGCAATATGTCACCCATTTGTTGGTGATTTTACTTTGTAACATTCATCCCTTACTGAAAGTAATAACAACCCTGATCATTGAAATTGCATAAAAGATTAGGCATGAAAACGAACAGAAAAATACTGAAATTCTACCTGCTTCCTACCCAGTTATGCCTGCCATAGCAAAGTTTGCATAAACAATTATCTCACTCAACCTAGCCTCATCCACCAATATTTTTGTGTGGAAAAGTGGACAAATAAAGCATTGGCTTTGCACCATAAGAGCAACTTTAAATGATTCCTCAAGACCACTAATTGCAAGTTCACAAACATGTTTCATTTCTTGATTTCTACCACAAGTTGGCCATGGGTATTCTTTGATTAAAAAGTAGCTCCATCTGGCAGTCAGTCAATGGTCATTTACTCAAAAATATATAGTCAGCCAGTCATTCCATATCAATTTCAGTCAGGCAGTTGGTCAAAGCCACCCAGTCAGACTTCCAATCTACAGTCATTCAGTTAATTCATCATTCATTAAGTCAGTCAGTGAGTTATTCAGTCATTTCATCGTACATTAGGCCAGTTACTCAGTCATTTGGTCATTTCATCATACATTAAGTTAGTCAGTAAGTTATTCAGTCATTTCATCATGCATTAAGTCAGTCAGTAAGTTGGTCAGTCATTCAATCATTTCATCATACATTAAGTCAATCAGTAAGTTATTCAATAATTCCATCATACATTAAATCAGTCAGTAAGTTATTCAGTCATTCAAAATGTGGTAGGAATATCAGTGACACTCTCAGGCCGGCACCTTGCATGTCAATCTTTTGTTCTTACCATATTTTGACATCATCTGTGATCTATAACAGAACAGACCCACACACCCATAGAATCTATTTGTTAAATACCCATCACATCATACCTGAAGTAGTCAGTTAGTAATTATTTAATTCAATCATTCAATCAAACTATCAGTAAAACAGTCATTCATTCAATCATACTGTTTGTAATTCAGTCAAACAACCAGTAACTTTGTTATGTCAGATTTATTGAATTTAAACATGGTGGGCTTATTTGTGTGTTTTCGTTTATGATTTCGCAAGTGTGTAGTGTTCAAATATGGCGGATAATTTCTTTAAATATTGACAAATTTATGACTCGTGTAATAGTACTTTCAGAGCTTATCTAAAATAGATCACTGATAATCTTAACTAACTGTATACACAGCATTAAACTAAATGTTATAAAAATGTGTAAACCTTACCGAGTTAGACGGGCACAATTAAGTCTTTCTGGTTAAGGTCATCCAGACTCATCGTTGGTGGAGGTTGGTGCACTGGTATACTTAGTGTTTTTCAATTCAACCTTAAAGTAATGTAATCTAAGGTTAAACACAAACAAAGAAGTATTTTGGGGCGCTAAAAGTAAATAGCAAACCTCAGCAAAAGTAGTAATTCGGTTGAAGAATCTCCATTTAGCATCACATGGCCGCCGCAGTCAAAACTTGCAAAGAGTTATGGGAATTGCGAAATTTATGAGCCATTTCCGTCTTTGATGAGTTCGAGAGAGGGTAGATGGTTAAGCAACTTCCATGTTGAGCCGAAAAAATTAAATCCAATGGGGGGAGCTATTGGTATAAAAGCAGGAAAGGCAGAGAGAAATTTCTTAGCCTAGACCCCCTAATTTGCTGTTGCATCAAGACAAAACTCTGAAGCTCGTAACTTAGTCTTTTTTCGTCACCTATTGGCCGACCAGAGTAATAAAAATTGAAAACGCGAGAAGTTAGTTCTGCATCATGTCTGGGTAACATAGGCAATGCCGTGCACAGGGAAGTTCAGTTGATACCAAAAAGGTACTCAACAAAACACACGAAGTTATCTAGTCTAGAGACCCAGGAGGATCTAAAAGGGAACACGAAACGACCTGCAAAAAAGCCGTTGCCTGTTTTTTTGAGATTGGTTATTCAATCTTCCCATAGACAGCTGGATACTTACTGTTTAATTTCTTTATAACCATTTCTAGAAACATTGAAACACCATTTTTGTCTTGCAAAGAATGGGTAACTTCGGTGAGCTTATTTTGGAAACGGACTACCTCGTAAGGCTTGCAAACTCCTCCTTTTTTCATTTTTTTTTAACATCTGCCATACCTTCGTGCCCTCGAGATTTTTGATTGGCTGTTTAATGACTTTGATTTGGTTTAACAAGTCTCAAATGCACCATTAGTACCCTGTCATATGGAAAACTTACAGAACACATAGTGATTTAAACATTTGTTTGGTTTTCTCCGTATAAATTAACTGGACTCCATGTTCCTCACTCTGGTGGATATCAAACCTTAGCTGAGGTAGGGTTTCTTGGCCTGGAGCTTGGGTACTACTCAAACAGTCACTTCTCTTTAAAAAACAAAAAACGAAAAAACACGCTTAGCCACCGCGCCTTTCGATTGACGTCTTCGCTTCCTTTGTATTTCAAAATGAGGCAACCATTACCGGTAGATCTGTCTACTTTATTTCATTGGTTTGCATTGATGGTTTCTTAAACCTAAATTATTCATTGGTTTGATGATTTCTTAAGTTTACATTGTACGTTTACTATCTAGTTTAAATCAGAAATACAAGAATTGTAAAAAAGCTAACTAATCTGGTGCTAATTGAATACAATTGAAGACCTACGAATTCCTACTGATAAAAAAATACAAGTATTCATTTCATTGTGGGGATTATCTATAGTGGTTGAATTGTTCTGGTGAAAAAAACAGGCGAGTCAGGAAACGAATGTAGTATGATATATGTTCTTGAGGGTGATACACTGGTTTAGAAATAACCCAGCAAGCGAAGTCCCAGCTTGACAGTGCATCCAAGCATGGTGAAGAAACCCAAGTAACCAAAGCTACCACGCATGCGCTTCTCGGGATCTGAAATAAAACACAACAAGGTTAACAAGATCCCACAACTGGAACAAAGGAATAAAGGCACCCTATTCCATTTACATTCATTGTAAGAAATAATTACAATTTTCAATCATTTTCATATTTTTCCTTTTCTGCAGTGTATAGTAATGAGGCATTAGAGTATTTCCATGTTTCATTGCATTTCCTGTCACTCTCATATCGCCTCACAACTCCATTTAAAATATTTTGGGAAGCAAATGTGGCTCCAGGATTAAGGAAGGGAAATCCACTTATCCATGAACATATAGCCCATTAATTTGACTAGATATACCATGATAACTTCTTTGCCACTGATTTCTTCAAGGATTGCCGTTTTCAGTACACCAGTGCTGCAAGTTAGAAATTTAACATTACAAGAATGTATTACTTGCCTCCAGTGTAGTATCCATGGGCATAGAAGAATCTACTGACAATCCAGACAAGTCCTGCTGCAGAAGTTAACACCTACAAAAATAACAAATAACGAAATTAGAGCATGGTTGCATTATTTCAAAGAATGTACCAGTATTTTTTGTTTTGCTGGTGACATTTTCTGTTAATGTTATATCATTCATAGACAAACAGTGATAAAAGGGTATGCTACCCATATCAGATGGTAACTAAACAAGTATTTTTAATTTAAATATATATTTTTATTCCCATTCATAGTAGAAAAAAAAATTGCATTTACTGGGTCCTTCAACTTTAATCTGGACTACCCCTGTCAATTTACCCTACCAAATATTTCATTCTAGTGTTCCCGAAAAAATAATGATTTCTAAACTTACGGGATGTTCCAATCCTCCAAGCAACAGAAAAAGCAAGAACTGGGGATAAACTTCAACCCTAGAGTAAAGAATGAAATGAAATGATTTAAAGTGTAAAATTTGTTTTAAAATCTCCAGGTATGTGTTCTGAATAACCAAGGCAATTTCCTAGTGTTACACTTAGGGTTAGTGGGGCCTGATATTCAAAACTGAATTGAAATAAATAAATGACAAGTGCAAGAGAACAAATAATAATTCATCAAACATCTCTTACTTAAGAATCACCTTCCAGTGAACAACTGTACAGCATGTAAAACTTTCTTAATGGATTTTTGGAATTGTTATTTTGAACTATGTGGACAAAAATGCATGATACAAGAGAAAGTTGCAGCAGTAATAGCAGTTTTAATAATGGTAATAGAACCAAGTGGAGTCCACTTCTGTCTATAATCATACAAGTCATTAACAAAATCAGACAACTGCAAAGTGGGAGTCCAATTTGTCAATCATGAGTATGATTACAGACAGAATTGGGTGACACAAAATCCTGTTACCAATTAATCATAACCATTACAAAAAAACAAACAAATACACTTAGGACAAACATATTGGGTAGAGGAAATGTGTAAAGTTAAAAATTCCTCCATTTTGGAACTTCCCCCAGTTTGTTTGTTGTTTTTTTTCAGGATAAGTGATTGTTTCTATGGTTATTGTGATCAATTCTGTGATTGGTAGATTTAGCTGAGAGGACTTAGTATGAGAGGCTGCTTCATATGTCCAATTTCAGGTGTCCAATCACAGCCAACTATCCAATTACACTGACCAATTACAACTGTACAGAATGATAAGTGAAAAATAAAGCAGCTAATACACCAAACGCATTTGAAGAAATTGTAATGGCTATGATAAGTATGCATATAAGTTTATTTGGAGAAAAGTGTGCAAAAGGAAATCTTCACTACTGGAGCAAATTACGTTTAACATGGGAAGAAACAATCGAGTGTTCAGATGATCAAAAAAATTATGACTCAATTTGAAAGGCAGATTTTCTGAGTTATTGCACAACCAGCCAGACAAGCCATTTAATTTTTTCCTTCTAATTGCCAGTCTAAACTGCTTGACATAGCATGTTGACCAATCTATGGAGTGTACTATAGGGTGACAGATAGCTCTGCATAGGTCATAAATACCTTGAAAATTTATGATGATAAGACAATGGGGAAATTTTGTCACCCATTTTGCCTAGGTTTAAAATGTTTCAAACTAATTGAATTTTCATTTTTCATTATCTTAAATCCATCATTAAATCACAAAAACAGAGAAAAATATAAAATCAAACTATTTTGAAAAAGTTCCACACAGGAAAAAATTTTAACCAAAGCATATTTTACAAGAGCACTCTCATTCTCATTCAAGTAGGTGCCACTGAGTTAGCTTTGTCTCTTGCTGTGATTTTTAACCAAGCAATTAGAAATGGAGAATGGATAGCAAAGCTCAAGCGTGGAGAATGGATACCGGTACATAAGAAGGATGATAAACAAAGGGATACAAACTATAGACCTATCACAGTGCTGTCATGCATAAATAAAGTCTATTAAATATTGCTGGGCCAACAAGTCAGTAAATTTATGGATGACAGACTCAGTGATGCTATCACTACCTATCGTACAAAGAATAGCTGTGAGACCACGCTGATAACGCTGACCAAAACATGGAGAGCAGAACTAGACAGCAAGAGAATTGTCGGTATATTGTCATCGGATATGAGCAAGGCTTTTGACTCTCTTAGCTCTCAGTTACTCTTAAATAAACTGCAAGCCTACAATTTCTCTGACAAAGCCATACAGCTCATACGATCATATTTTCAGAGAAGAGAGAATAGAGTAAGGATAGGTTGTGTAATAAGCGACTGGGTTGTGATGAAGAGAGGATGTCCACAGGGAAGCACATTTGGACCACTTATGTGGAATATTTTCCAGAACGGTTTGCCTAACATAATATCAGATGCCAATGTCTCGATGTATGTGGATGACCATCAGGTCTTTGTAGCACATGAAACAATGAAAAGAGTGGTGAAGATACTGGTGGACAATGGAGAGAAGATGACTAAATGGTATCAAGATAATCTTTTAAAGGTCAATTGCGATAAATACCAAGCTATGGTTTTGGGAAATCCAAAAGGTGAAAGGAACACTGATCTGGATATAAGTGGCGAAAGAGTTGAACAGTCACAACCCATCAAGATCCTAGGTGTAACCCTAGACGAAAACCTAAACTTTAAAGATCATTTACGTAGTGTATGTAAGAAAGTTGCCGGTAAGATCGGAGTTTTAAGAAGGCTTAAAAATCTTATCCCAGTAAATGCCAAGTTACTTTTGTACAAATCAGCTATCATGCCACACCTTACTTATTGCCACCTAGTGTGGCATTTTTGCACGGCATCTGATAATCGTAAATTGGAGCGTCTACAAGAAAGAGCCTTAAGATTAGTGTATTATACTACTGACGAAAGTTATGACGCCTTACTAAAAAGAGCTAAATTAACTACTTTGCAAAATAGGAGGTTGCAGGATATACTAATTTTGATGTTTAAAGTTAAAAACAAATTAACAACGAACAAAATTGCAAACATTTTTAATATCAACGATGAGAATACTAATAATAAGGGATACAACCTAAGAAATGCAGATTTTGTCTTACCTCGGTTTAAAAGTGTTACTTATGGAAGACATTCCCTTAGATTTCTTGGACCACAATTATTGTGGTCAAAATCAAGCAAGGAAGAGAGAAATATTGGAACTTTGGCAACTTTTAGGACAACTATACGTAAGAAGGATGTAACATCATTTCTCAAAGGATGTGGGAGTGAATGTCACTTATGCTTAGGTTAACTTGACGTACACATATCTTTACATATTCATTTTTAGTATCCGAGCTCATATATTACATTGTGAATTCAGCACCCTGCTTCAAAGTGTTATAGAGTAAAATTGTAACTTAGTTTTAAAGTGTGTTTTAATGTTATTTTCCTGCTTTTAAGATTCATAGTTTTTAATTACATTTTTTAGTCTTAAAGGTGTCCCCAATTAGTGCCAATAGGCACTAGAACGATTAGACACTTAAATAAAGGTCATGTATGTATGTATGTATTCAGTTGAAGTCTTACTAACACTTCCACAAGTTTCAGTGAGAAGTTGGGTACACACTCACGTGTTCAGGTGTGCCCTTTGATAGCAATTGAAAATAGGCTTGCTGTCATCATACATCTTAGGGTACTGTTGAAGGAAAAGTATACATGCATTTAAAAAATGATGTGATTTTCTTCTCATACAATATAGATTAAATGGCTATTCAGTAGAAGCACCAAGATTTATATGTGACTTGAGGGGGACAATAATTAATTTGAATTTGTTACAGGTACATTTACATGCTTCCTAGTCATGAGGTAAAGATACCTTCAACATCAACAGTCTTGATGTCAGCTTTTCTTACACCACCAAATAAAGCAAGGCTTCAGACTCAGCTTCTTTTCAAACTCCTTATTTTACTTCACCACCATCCCATTATGATTTACAGTGAAATAATGAGGAAATTCTTCTGAGCACCCCAAAGCATTTCACAAAAGCTACCATGGGGGATTGATGCTTCATGGCAGCAGCCCTGCAGCTTTGCAACAGTCTTCCCATAAGCATTACATCTGCTTGCACCAAAACAGATTTTAAACAGAAACTTAAGACATTTTTATTCAGCAAGACATTTTGTTTGTAAAATTAGTTTATATTTAGATTTTTATGTACAGTCTTGATGTCAGATTTTCCTAGTCCACCAAATAAAGCAAGGCTTCAAACTCAGCTTTTTTTCAAACTCCTTATTTAACAACCTCAAATCATAAAAAGGTTGACACCAATAAAATTTTAGTCATTGAAAAAGAAATACTAAATAACAACAGAAAAGGACAAGGAAAAGGACGTATGTCTTACATTGAAGTTTGAACATGTGTTATAGATAACAAAACTGAGCAATAAAAATATTAACTTGTACCACAGAACCACCAAAGGTTCCCACATTTACAACTTCGACATCAAATGTAAATTCTAATTTTTTTTTTTGACTTGCCATGGCAACCAAAATACTGGAACCTTCTAGTACTTGCAATAACTATTGATTTTTCCTTCAGGGGAGGAAACCTATTTTTCTTTGTTTCCAGCCTCTGAACCAATGAAATCATTCCCGTTTATGGTGTCAAAAAAGAAGCCCTCGTTCTAGATAGTTATACAGTTGTAGTTGAGAAGAAATGTAACACTGATGTTCATTCATGGATGATTAGTGATAATTTGATGTTGAATGATGATAAAACTGAGTTTATGGTGATCAGCATGAGCAAGTAGCTATCTAAAGTGTCTGTTAGTGGTACTAAGGTTGACACATTGATGTAATTCCCATATACTCAGCAAAAAATCCGGGCTCCTGGTTTGACTTGCTTATGGATATGGCAACACATATAATAAAGACCTGTGGTACTGCATTCTTTTATCTGTATAATTACCATCACATACGGAAATACCTTACAAGTGAATGTACTAAGAAACTGATTCATGCATTTCTAACCAGTCTGTTAGACTATTGTAACAGTCTCCTCTATGGAGTTCCCGACAATCACATGCAAAAACTCAGTGTCATGAATGCCTGTGCACATTTGATCTTCTGCACACCGATACACTGTCATATTACAGTGCTCTTTCAACAGCTTCACTGATTACCTATCCACCTATGTATCAAGTTTAAAATCCTTTTGATCACTTTTAAAGTACTCCAAGGCTCAGCTCCTAAAAATCTCTATGATTTAATTTCTGTTTTACCACCATCCCATAATGATTTACAGCAAAATAAAGAGGGCATTCTTAAGAGCACCCCAAAGCATTTCACAAAAGCTACCATGGGGGATTGATGCTTCATGGCAGCAGCCCAGCGGCTTTGCAACAGTCTTCCCATAAGCATTAGATCTGCTTGCACCAAAAGAGATTTTAAACAAAAACTAAAGACATTTTTATTCAGCAAGGCATTTTGTTAGTAAAATTAGTTTATATTTAGATTTTTATATACTTTTCTTATAGCCAATTGTAATAGTGTAGTTTTTGTCTTTGATTTTATAGTGATTGTAAATAAGTTCTTATTTTGTATTTATTGTAATGTTTGTAATGCACAAGACACTAATGTAACAATCCATTTCCAAAGAAAACTGAGAATGCATGAGACACCAACATAACAATTCATTACAGGAGAAAACTGAGAATGGGCAAGACACTAACGGAACAATTCATTACAGGAATAAACTAAGAATGTGCGAGACACTAATGTAACAATCCAATACAGGAATAAACTGAGAATGTGCAAGATACTAACGTGACAGTCCTTGTAAGAAAACTGCTATATCTCCTCTGTATTGGGAGTATTAACCCTTTCACTCCCAATATCTTATTAGTAAGTCTCCTTACTGTCTACCATACAGCTCTTAAGATGTTGATTTCGAGAATTTGGTATTGGATCAACTATTGATCCCCTTTGGATATATTTCTTTATTATCATCTTTTGTCCACTTGATATCATATTGATTTTGTGTTGGTTAAGCAAACCCACACAATGATTGCTAACTACTTCACCCATTTCAAAGATAAAGTAACATGGTCAACATTTTTATAAATAAAACAACTAGTGTACTCAATTAAGATTGCAAGTTATGTCATGGGAGTGAAGATGCAACTGCTATGTTTGTGCTCCTAATATACTACAAATTATTGTGTAATAATCATTATATCACTCATGGAACACAAGCAATATGTCACCCATTTGTTGGTGATTTTACTTTGTAACATTCATCCTTTATTGAAAGTAATAACAACTTTGATCTTTGAAATTGTATAAAAGATTAGGCACAACAATGAACAGAAAAATACTGAAATTCTACCTGCTTCCTACTCAGTTATGCCTGCCATGGCAAAGTTTGCATAAACAATTATCTCACTCAACCTAGCCTCGTCCACCAATATTTTTGTGTGGAAAAGTGGACAAATAAAGCATTGGCTTTGCACCACAAGAGCAACCTTAAATGATTCATCAAGACCACTAATTGCAAGTTCACAAACATGTTTCATTTCTTGATTTCTACCACAAGTTGGCCATGGGTATTCTTTGATAAATATCTCAATGATTTAATTTTTTTTTAACACCATTATGATTTACAGCAAAATAATGAAGGAATTCTTCTGAGCACCCCAAAGCATTTCACAAAAGCTACCATGGGGGATTGATGCTTCATGGCAGCAGCCCAGCAGCTTTGCAACAGTCTTCCCATAAGCATTAGATCTGCTTGCACCAAAAGAGATTTTAAACAAAAACTTAAGACATTTTTATTCAGCAAGGCATTTTGTTAGTAAAATTAGTTTATATCTAGATTTTTATATACTTTTCTTATAGCCAATTGTAATAGTGTAGTTTTTGTCTTTGATTTTATGGTGATTGTAAATAGGTTCTTATTTTGTATTTATTGTAATGTTTGTAATGTGCCTTTGATTGCTTTTAAAAGAAAATGCACAATATAAATATCAAATATTGTTCTTATTGTATTGATCAAAAACTTACACTAGGAAAGTCATACACAGAGCATCTGTAAAAACATTGGCTCTGCTTTGGGTGCAATCAAAAGCATATGGCATCTTATTCCTTATAATACATTACTGAATATGTACAATTGTTTAAACCCACCACATTTTCGTTGCCACGATGTTGTTTGGGGCAACTGCAGTATTTGCCTTAATTTCCTGAAAAGCTGCAGAAGCTCCAAAATCTTGTAGCTCATATTCTAATGCTTGCAAGCAAAGGTAATGATATCAATAAGTTATTCCAGGCACTAGGTTGGCAAAAACTCAATCATTACAGGGTAGTAGCTCCATCCATTATGATGAACAAGAATCTACAAAAATGACTCCCTAATATCTAATATCTAATATCTTGATTTGTATTTCAAAATAACTCAGTCTTATTACCAATTGAGGAATTCAAAACACAAATTGGCTCTTCCACAGCCCAAATCAATTAGTTTAGAAGAAGTTTCTCTGACAAAAGTGCTGTCCCAAGATCTGTATACTGTAGCTTCCTTAAATAAATTTAAAAGCAAACTATGACACCACAGCTCCAAATGAGACACAGCACAATTGAAAAGCAGCCGCAAGACATAATAGGTTTTATCTTAATTTATTATTTAGATTAGCAAGGCAGAATTAGATGTTTTAGACGTAAATCTCGCTAAAGGAATTTTTAAACATGAATACATAAAGTTATCAGTGAATCAATTAAGCAATGTACTCATCAATACTGTTGACTGGAATGGCTTGGCAAGCAAAAGGCAAAAGCAAATTTGGTGGATGCAAGCAGAGTGAACTTCAAGTTTCAAAGGAAACTATCCCAAGTCAGAAATTTTCATTTCCAATAAAAATTGCTTTGCATTTCACCCCTCATGCTGACTACCCCTTTGCAATCCTTTCATCTTTGGAATTTCCAACTGATATTTTGAAATCCATATTATGACAGTGATACTAACCAAAGTTGATACTGACTGCCTCAGAATAATTGTAATAATTTATTGCACAAGGCTACCTGAATGGCTCATCAAACAGTGAAATACTGGGCACTTAACAATGGACTAAACTCCATGCACTCTGTGATAAAGTATGCAGGGATGCCAAATGTAAAATAATATTTTAACAGCTTTAAATGAATTTTTTATAGTTTTGCAATATATTTTTTTGGTTTGTTTACACTGGTCAGTACAGCTTTGAGACTATTTTCAGTGGATTTCAACACAAAAAGTTTGGGTCTGTCACACTAACTGCTATTCATTTTTGCTCTGAAAACCAAATTCTAGGACAAAATTCATTATGTGGAGAGTAAATAAAGATAAAAATTATTGTTGAAAACAAATCTACAAAAACCACCAATTTCACACCTCGGTCAATTTCAATTTGGCATAAATTGTGCAATGCACCCTCAATCATACTAAAGACCCTTTTTCAATTGTTTTCACAAGAATACAGCAAATCAAATTAGGGAGATTTCCTTTCTTTCAGTGATCTAAACATTAGGATGACTTTTTAAATAGAACAATTTCCTCTATTATCTGTTGCAGACACCAAGTCAATCAAGATAACAATGGATGTAACCTTATATGGTAAGCTTGGGATGAAGAGTATAAATAAATAATAACAAAAGGAATTATCGCACATGGAATAAAACGTGTTTGAATTCTTGACAAGTTTATATCTCAAAGAAGTTTTGAGAGGTGTCAACTGCGTCTCCTGAAGGTATCACCAACAAAAAATGGAGTTTTTTCTTCATAAAAGTTCAAGAAGAAATATATTGATTTCTTTCGATATGCATATTTACCACTGGATGGACTTGGATCTACATATTGAAATATACAGAGTGCATCTGAAATTGTCATAATCATTTATGATCGAAATGCACTCCACACGTGCAGTGCTAGACTGCAATATTACCCGTGTAAAACGAGAAATCTCTTTTCATATGGATGGTTCGTATTAACACGCGCGGTCCATCACGACTATCGTAAACAGATATTGCATCGCGCTCTTTTTCAAAGCTAACATTTACTTCGCCAGAACTATATTCGATCATCATTGACCAAAGGCAGACATAACATATGTACATACATTTACTTTGTAGAGTTTCCGTGCTTTTCCCACGTTTAACCCTAAGTAAACCATCATCACGCCAGAGGCAACAGATGTGAGAACAACATAGCCATATTCGTTTGGGATATTCATCGACACCATTTTGAAGTAGAGAACGAGAGCGAGATCGAGGCTACGACCTCTGACTCGAGCTGAACGAAATCGAGGCCAAAACCGCATGCTTCCAACGTGATCAGCAGCTTTTCATTGGTGAAAAATTTATGACAATAAAATTAACCAATCAAATCGACTACTGTAATGACGTATCTTGTCACTATTGCACTATTTGAACGCGCGAAATCGTCGATAGTGATCTTATTTACTGTCGCTGTCGACGTTAGTGGCTAGGCGGAATTGAAAGACCGTTTTCGACACGAGAACCTGTAAGAAGAAGAGAGCGAAATGAAGTACGTCGTCACTGTTGTCCTCTGCGCCGTTCTGGTCGCTTACTGTAATGCCCAAACATCATCGGTAGTCGCCGCTAATGCAAGCTCAGTGCCTACTCCGGTGTCGAGTGCAGTTCCTGTATCGAACGCAACGCAACCTCCAACGACTGAGCCAGCCACAACGACCGCAGAAAGCTTTGGATTCAATACCTTGCCCTCCATTTTTGTTTTGATTGCAGCTTTCTTGGTGGCTGCTCTCAAGTAAAGTTTTTTTCAATGGTACATGTAAGAACGGTTGCCGCCACACCTTCCTGAATTGAAGAACTTTGCACCTCTAACGTTCAGTTTAGCTGTTTCCTCAAGCTTTGGTTAAACAAGAGTTGTGGATATTAATCCTGACATTCTCAGACAAACTTATTTAATTTAAGATTTCCAGCTTCTTGGCCATTCTTGGACCATGTGGCGTTTACGAAACTGACACTTGGCGAACGCATGAAGATGGCGTGGCCTTCAGCGGCACTGTTTAAGCAAAAATCTCCTTTGAACTGTAAGCTTTCTTTCATCTCCGCTATTTGTCTATACTAGTGTGTTGTAAATTGTTGTTGTCGGATAATTATTTAAGCATTTTTACTGCTCTAAATTTCTATTTTGTAAGAAAATGTACTGGCCTTCCGTTACTACGCTGTAGGATAAAATGGCGTATTTAGTACAGAATATTAACGTCGGCGTGAATAGTTTTCGTAGGGGAATCGTTCTTTTTCCTTCGTGTGTCATTTAATTCAATCTTGTATGAGTTTGAACCATCTTGTCTTGAAAAACAACGCCTTGTGCGCTACCTACTTTTGGGCGCTGTCGGGCGTTGGATAATTTCAGTTGTGAGGATGGTAATTTTGTTGAAGCTGGAAGAAATTGTCGATGACTTTGACTTGTGTAAAACATTGTTGAAATAAATATTTGTTCACTTTGAGAACTATGGTCAAGTACTCTCGAAAGCGCTCTGTATAATTCTCCCCACATCATTTCTCGTCGCGAGACAATGTTTAAGCGCGCTTTTGTCATGAAGGAGAGATGTTATGCAAGAAAAATGGTTTAGGAGCGATAGATCGCTTTGCCGCCTATCTAAAATCTTACCATCTCTCCTAGTTTACAGAAAACTCGGGTCTTACGTGAAGCATAGGGGCATTTTCATTAATTCCTCGCCTTCCTTACATTTAGGCACGGCTGTGTGAGCAAAGGGGATAAAAAGTGCGCCACCAACATAGCGCGTTTCCAGAGAAATATGCAAATTTTGAATCGGAAAGGTTGACTCATTATACTTATTTGTGTGGTCATTTGAATCGCATTGTCATGAGCTCATGACGAATTCTTTTGGGACCTAAAAGCACCGGTCATAGACGAGAGTTTTTTTTCTTATTACAGAACAGTGCCTAGCGAACTTTAATTTCGGAATCACCACGGTTGAGCGGAAGATCGCTTGATTTTTTTTATCGTATCATCATTTGCGACGCTTGTGGTTTTTTAAATGTGGTGGAACAGATTTTTATTGTTTTAATGCCTTGAAACAGCTGCCTGTCAAATGATTCAGGAAGATCGAATATACAGCCTACGTCCAACTCTCCATCTGTGTGAAAACAATCAATCGAGACAAGCAGTGGCAAAATGAAAGGTCGAAGGCTGATTAAGCGCTTCTTTTTGCCCTTTCATTGGGCAGTTAACATGAACGAATTCAAGACAATTGATGTTTTCTAGTACATGTCTTCATTATTGACAGCCATTCACAACCATGTAAGCCTGTGGTATCCAACAAACATACCAGTTTCACCATAATCAACACTGGTTACTATAGTAACCGTACTTTTGTACTTTGAGCCTTGATTACAATTCTCAGCTTAGGCATAGACTCTCGACGACACACGAGGAAACAAACTTTAATTCTTTGATGCTGAGTTCATTTTCATACCGTAACGAATGCGTTATTCCAAAATATTAATTATCACTAGCATCGTTCAACATCTTTAATTTTTGTAATTAATTCTGGGACTGTCATTATAAGCAAATTATTAATTCATTCAAAAAAGAACCTGTATCTTGTCAGCTTCCAGAAAGTTTAATAGGGTGGCCAGGAAAACACAACCACAAAATTCTGTTGAATAATCAATCAGCCTCTAGCGTAAGCGAGCCAAAGAGCTTTGTAATTACATTTCCGTCAACTGCATACCAAATTAATGTTCATTGTTTTGGAAGACACCTTTTAGTACAACAGAGCTTAATCCCGTACAGGCCTGAATTTTTTTTCAGGCCTTATTTTCACTACTGCTTAAGTAGTGTACATTACTGCGAGGATCACTTTCATATTCACGTCTTTATCCGCAGTTCAAATATATGACTTTCACATATTCTTAGCCAGAGCTTAAATTCGTCATCTGTGGGAGTAAAGGAGGACTTCGTCATTTTCAAAAATAACGTTAAGTTCAGCGTGGCTGACAAACAAACGAGGTAGCGTATTCGGGGAATAACTTTTTTCCTGGTCGCTAAGAGTGAAAAGTGTTTTACTCTTATTGTACTTAAGGGCCTCGAGCAAATGAGCTTCAAAAGTTATCGAAATGCCGGGCGAGTTGGAGTTGAAGCGTCTCGTCTCATGGGAAAAACAACGAAAAACAGAACTTTTAACGTGGGCGTATTGTTCCTACCTCAATGCCCATTTCATTTTTTACTGCTTGCGCAATGTTGAGATATATTTGTTCTTGCATCATCAGTTGTTCGTCCACCCGCCATCCTCGGATCGGCTGAGAATCACCGACAATTTGTCGAGACGGTGCAATATCGGGTATAATTTTCAGCATGCCTTGCAAGCACTAACTGATTAGCCATAAAAATCGCTATGTCAAGAGAATAACGACGTTATGTTTCGTACGAAGGTGGAAAACCACTGAAAAGAAAACTATTATTTCATTTTTCAAATCCACCTTGCCATTAGCATTGTAAAATTTAATTGAACCTGAAGTTTACATGGTTGGGCAGTTACGTCACCTCCACTATTATGGAGGTTAATAACTCTACTCATGAATTCCTTAAAGTGGAAAGATTCTTCGCTCAGACTAGGATCACACGAGAGAAGATTTTTCCGGATTCATAAATGTTACTGAATTCATCAATTTTACGGCTATCGGATTCAACCCTTTACACACGTTAATACACCCGCAAACATTCTTGACTGAGTGGTTACAAGGCTGCATTCTTGCCTCGATCGATGACAACAAAATTCCGGAATCAAATGTTTTCGGATTCGATGTTCCAACTTGGAATTTCGGATTCAAAATCTCCGGTGACACGACCAATAAGGGGAGGTTTTATTTCGGATTTGTCAACTTGTGTGTAGACGGCAAAACGAATCCGGCACTAAAACGTACAAGACTCATCACGAATTCGGAACAATTTCTAATAGAGTAAACCTAGTCTCAAGAGTGGTTAAATATTTCCGTGCGTCCGGGGGTCCGTAAGGCGGGTAGCACTAACTCCAGATTTAAGGGAAGTTTTATTTTAATATCCTTGTATAAAAGCGAGCACAACAGATCGAACAGATCGATTGAAATAACCTATAAACCTCCATGCCGTATAACAAAATAATAGATGTTTACAGACCCTTTTTTGCACGTCCCAGACCTGGTCTTAAGCTAATAGTCCAGCTTAGTGGCCCGGGAAGGAAACACAGCTATAAAGATGTACTTAATTGTTAACGTGCACGCCACAAACACATACGACGAAAATGGAAATTAATCACAACTCTAGTAATTATCATGGATGGTAAAGGGAGCTCGATAAATGTAAACTAATGAATGGACATTTTTGATCAAATGGTTGCAATATCTAAATACATATCTTCCCATGGCATCCACACCTAAGCGAGTCTAGTTACCTGCATAAGATCGAGGCCATAAGTGTCAGTCGGTCAAACGTTGGAAGGTTGAAACGGTATGGCTTCGGAGCGATACCCGCAAGATATTATAAAACCCTCAAAACTGAAAAACGACGTGAATGAAATGCGTTCTTATACGTCGCTACGCCAATGCAACGCTACCGAGAAACTAGCGCCGGTGCTTTGGTCGATCTGGCCTCATTTCAGTAAGGGGAGGCCTGCCGCGCAGTGTTTTCGACAAGAAATCTAGCCATCAAGTAGACCAATTGACGTTCATTTCATGGGGTGTGTCTATACAAAAGCTTCGCGGGCAGCACCTGGCAAAAGAAGCAACACAGGTGTGTTTCATTCTTTGGTATTCCATTTTTATTGATTCCCTTTCTTTTGTCCTGTCATCAGTAACAGTAAAAAGTTACAACGAACTTACAAATTAAAGCAATCGAATGTGACAGATAGATGACTTTTTGAAATTAAATAGAATACATACCTACACTAAACAGTAAATTTGAGTGGATTTAAATCTTTCAATCAAAAAATATATAAAATATTTGGAAACGAATGTAAAATATATATCAACTAATGATCGAAAATATAAAAATATTAAAATTACCACATCTGGAATATGAATCAAGATAATAAAACTGTGTTAAAAGAGGATTTTAAAAATCAATCTTCCTTTAAAACCTTTCAAGAAGTAAGGATATCGAAAGTCGATAGTGGTTATTTCCACTCGGATTAGACCAGTTTTCTCACGTTTCATTGATAACCTGCGTTCATTGACTTGGAAAACCTCTGGCGAGACCACTGAAACTATAAATTCTATCACAAAAGAAATTTGG